AACTATCTCTGTGTTTTTTTGTAGATAAATGTAAGCACTTTTGGCTTGCTGTTTTCGGAGATGGTTCAGTATTGCCAAAACAGAGTTCACACTGTACCGGAACTTCAAAGCAAGTGAGTGAAAACAGTACCCCAGGAGCAGAAAAATAAAAAATTTTTGTTATGAGTCTGCTGCGATGGAAGTCTTGTGTAGTTAATTGAGTGATTGTGATATGTAATTTATCTAGCATCTACTGGTTCCAGACTCGGACAGAATTAAGATCGATATTCTGTTGGAAAGCAGGGCTCGCCACTAACGGCACAGGGGGCCCATACAATCTGTTTGTGTAGCCGACTGTTTTTTTTATTGTGAATGTACCAGATTTACCGTTTGCCTCACCTATAGTGATATATTGCTGACTGTGTGCATAAATCATTGATAAATAAACGTTGAATTACTTAACCTGTGGTGTATAGTTGTCCTTTTGCGTCAAAAGTGTTTTTTTTAGCGATTTTGAATAAGTGTGAGTTCGTCATTAATGTAATGCATAAAATAAAGACAAGGGTGGAAGTCTTGTTTTGAAAGGGTACAATCGCCCAAGCGATTTTCCCCCTGAAAATCGCATCCCTCTGCTTTCAAACTTTGAACCCTTTTAAAGCAAGGCTTCCACCCTTGTCTTTATTTTATGCATTACTTTAACGACGAACTCACACTTATTCAAAATTGCTAAAAGACAAAGCACTTTTGAGGCAAAAGGACGACTTTACACCACAGGTAAAGTAATTCAACGTTTAATAATTTTATCAATGATTTATGTACATAGTCAGCAATATATCACTATAGGTGAGGCAAACGGTAAATCTGGTACATTCACTATAAAACAACAGTCAGCTACACGAACAGATTGTATGGGCCCCCTGTGCTAGTGGTAGCCAACTAGTCACAGACTAGAATAAATTACGTTTTGGTTGGTGGTTTTCGATTTCCACTAGCCAGTTTGGCCAGTAAGCAAACTGAAATTGTGGTAACATCTAAGTTGTCACTAGCCTCTTGGCTTGTAAGTTTAAAAAGTTAGTGTCAAGCCCTGCTGTAAGTTCGGTTGGTTGATTGTTTGGGAAAGGAGAGAGGAAAAGGCGAATGAAAAAATGGAGAGGGAGAGGGGGAAAGACAGAAAAAACCTTTCTCCCCCCCCCCTTCCCCAAACATTTTACCTTGCCCCAACTCTCCACTGTTTTTCTAATTCAAGATGGCAGCCTGAACATCTACTCGCCCCGCCAAAATCCGCTTGCACTGCAGACTAGCAAACTGAAATGTCGTAACATAATATTTATAACATAACTAAAGCAAAGCGCACGCTCTGATTGGTTAATTCAGCATCTACTATTTGCCCATGGGTACATGCTGCTGACGTGAGCAAATGCTAAGACGATTTTTCCGCGCGCGCTTATCTTTTCTGATCACGTAAGATTTGTCAAATAAAAGGGAACTCTTGTTCCAATGTATCAATGTTATGTTATAAAACAAAGGGCGAACGCCATAGCGTGTACTATTGAGTTATGGATGCACTTGGGAGGTTTGCTTAGCACTCAAGAAGTTAGAGTCGCACTCTGCTATCACCTCGTGCGACTCTTACGCTTCTTTCGTGCTTAGCAACCTCCCGCGTGCATCCATAACTCAAATAGTACACGCTATGGCATTCACCATTTGTTAAAGATCTTAAGGGGTGAAGATTGAGAAACAAACACAAAGACCTCCTAACTACCGTTAAAATTATATGTTAGTTAGCAATGACAGCAGGAGAGAGGGAGGGGGAGGGGGAGTTTTTTATGGCCCTTAGCAGATAGTTTTTGTTCTATATGGGCACACAAAAGGATTCTGGATAGTGGTCTGCTCTGTGAAAATCTGGACTAATTATGAGTGTACAATAACCAAATAAATTCAAGGATTTAGGATTATGGCCCACCGAGATACTTCAGGAAAAATAGTAGGGAATGCTGTGGATTATTGTAAGTGATGTTGATTTTTTTTTTAAAAAAAAAAACAGGTTGTCAGAATTAGGCCAACAAGTGGGTTCCAGAATACTCGATGTGTTGGTGTTGAGGGAGAAAGGAATGAAAAGGGAAGTGAGAGTGCTAAACATTCTCCTTTTCATCAAATCAGTTTTGTGGAAAGTAAGTAAAAAGTATCATAATTATAGTAAAAATGACAAGAATGGATTGCAGACTAACATAACGCCAATGTGGACTATCACTCTGTCCTGTCTTTCTCACCCCAATCTCTTCTCGTCCCAAGAATAACTTATTCTTGGGGCGAGAAGAGACTGGGGTGAGAAAGACAGAATAAGTTGCAGAAATGTGGGCTTCTTGGTTAAAGTGCAGACCTAACTCTTCAACTTTAACTTCCATGAGTGATGAAGACAGAATTTCTCCTTACAATATCAGTACAATGTCAAGCAGACAAGTGATGAGATTAAAAAGAAATATCAATTAGGGGATTATTGTGATAGTTGATCTCATTCCAAATTCTCTAAGCCAACATCATAAGAATTCTACTGCAGACAGTAAGGAGAATTAGTAATAAGATCTGAGGTGTGAAGGGGCTAGCCTTTCAATCCAGGGATTGAGTGTTGCAGAAAAAAAGGATCAGACCACTACATAATTTTATAGTCTAACATATGATTCATCATTTGCTCACAAGTTACATTTTATTTTTACTCTTAATTTGTCTTGTTATTAGATAGATATTCCTAGTTTTTATTGATAGTTATGTTAGAATTCAATAGACATTGCTTGTTAGAATTTTTTAAATAGAGGGCTACAAGTTTATTAGTTACTTCAACTATTCTGTGCCACCCTCTCTAAATAAACTGTATCTATCTATCTATCTAAAGTATATTTCTATCCATCTATCTGAATGGTCTCACTCCCCCGTACCTGTCTGAAATGTTTGCCCATAGCGCCTCTTTTCATGATTATGGACTGCAATCTTCCAGAATGAATCTTGTGCTCCCTAAACGTCACACAGATTTTTACAGAAACAATTTTGCTTTTACCGGAGCAAGAATCTGGAATGATTTACCAAACAGTTTAAAGGAAGAAACTTGGCTAAAAATATTTATGGGTAAGCTGGACTACTACTATGAGCACCAGTAAAACTAGTTCTAGAACATTAAGCTTTCTAATAGTAAATACATAACTTGTATTGCGTACGGATTTTATGTAAACCAAATTTTATTATCACTATATATTTTAATTTGATAAAATGCCATATTAAAATAAAGGGTTCCATCCATTCATCCATCCATCTATCTAGTATATATCTATCTACAAGATAATTTGCTTTTATCAACTGAATTGATAATGCATGGGGGCCATTCCACATGAGACATGAAAATTTGACAGATTTTCAAATTCAAAATATGAGAGCCAAAC